AAGTCTCTCGATACCATTTCTTGACCGTATAAAATCCATAAAAATGCTTAGTTTATATACACCGCATATATATTTAATCTGTAACTTTTAGCACAAGAAAATAAATCTTTTTCAATTGATTTCAATGTAAAAAGTATCAAATTTTCGACAAATTCTACAATTTTATTTCTAATTGAAACTAATGACGCCCGCGCGAATTCAGTGTTGCGGTTTGAGCATGAGCATGCGCACAACTAACCGGATATCCAAAATTGGATATCCGGCATTCCGTTTCTCCAGAGTCATGCCCAGCACCTAACCTGCGAACGGGCATACTCTGGGTACGAGATTGACAGATGCCCGTCTGTTTCAGTGACTGTAATGTAGTTACTGAAATGTAACGAAAAATAGAACCGTACTATTAACATGAAATGCAGGGCACTTAGGTTTTGATTTAGATGCCTATTCCTTAAACTATTTTGTCTTATATATTTCCATAGAATATTATTTTGTCTTATATATATTTCTATATGTAACGATTATGTAAATAGTTAATAGTTGAATTAACATTATTTGCGCGTGGGAATGACATAGCATATTGCGGTGACCACTCCCTTCCCGTATCACCCCTCCTTTGCGTAGTAGATGTAAAGTATGTCAGTCCTATAGTAAACGCCCTAGTTGGCTAGAGTATAAATGTAGAGAAATCATCATAAAAAGCGTAGACTCTAACTGGATGTATTAGTGTGTTATTGGGAATCTCGGTGCGTTACAAATAGTTTGACTCTTTACACATCACCGTGGGTTTTCCCTGGGTATACCCCATTAGGAATCATGGGCGTACCGGAAGGAAAAAATTAGAGATGCGGAAAGAAATTTGCCCGACTTTTTCGGATTGTGCCCGACCAGTGCCGAAAAATTTTTTTCCGGAACAAATTAATTTTGGCGACCTCCCAGTGTACAATTTTAGGGGTCCAAAAATTTTTCGGACATACCAAAATTTTTCGGAACATCGTACAAATATTCCATACATCACAAAATTGACCACAAAATTTAAAGAACTTCCCACAAAATTGACAGAATTTGTCCCATTTATTTTTATAATAAGCCAATATTGCCCGACTGTGGAGCGAATATTGCCCGACTGGCTGCCGCTCCCCCCCCCCGCCCGGTATGCCCATGTTAGGAATACAGACAGAGCCATTATTGTTTGATAACGCTATAGCAACCTTTAGCTATGTTGAACTGTAAAGCTAAATCTTGGATCAAACGAGGATGGGAGTGCATGAAAGTGGCAGCCATGCGACATTCGTTAGCTGATGTTGACGCTTTGCTAAAACTGTCATGCATTTTTTAAGTTAAAACATAGTTGGAACACTTAATTTTTAATCTAGAGCTTGAAAATTAATGTCCCCTGTAACAATTCGTGACTACCAATTCTCATCACCTCTCATTTCAACGTTCAACGGGGCTTCAAGGGTTAAATTAAGTTCATTTATTAACATAATCAATCATTAATAGAATAGTTTTAAATTTTGACACATACATGCAATAACTACTGTCTTTATCTTCAGATATCGATGAATGCACCCTGAACCTCGACAGCTGTCATGCTCAAGCCACGTGCGCAAACACCGCAGGATCATACACATGTGTGTGTAACACAGGTTGGAGTGGAAATGGAATTAATTGCGTTGGTAAGTAAAGTACTTTCCTTTCACATAAAACCAGTACTATCTCTCTTTTGATGAACATATAGCGCACCAGTTTCTTACGAACAGTAGTGCATTTGTGGTTAAAAAAGGCCTTTTCAATATTCTCATGTTGAAAACAATAAAATATTATGAGTTGTGGATTTAATTCTTGTATTTTTATAGGACACGTAAAATGTGTAGATGAACAAAATTATAAATTAAAAATGTAGGGTTATCTTCTACCCAATTCTTTGGACAACAGGTCGACGGTAGTTAACACATTTTCCTTTGCCTAGACAAGCTAAAAACAGTCATTCTTCGAGCCAGTTGAATAAATTGATTAATCTATATTGACGTCCCATTTTAAACTTGTCAGCAAAATAATTATGCACAATGCAAAACTAAGAACTTGCCTATGTTACTCCAGGGAAATTTACTCCTCAGTAGATTAAGAACCTGTAGCGGGAACGTATTTATTAAAAGTTGTTTTTTTCTAATACTTGTTATATATAGGTTAACAATTAATTTTCAAATATTTTTGTTTCATAGATGTGAATGAATGTGATCTTAATAGCGATAATTGTGATGCCGACGTGCGAGCTACATGTACTAACACTCCTGGATCTTTCACCTGCGCGTGTAAAGCTGGATATAGTGGAAACGGAATTACTTGTGTTGGTTGGTACTTCACATTTCCTTTCATGTAGCATGGATATCGTAAAATTTTCGTACTGTCAATAATTTATTACTCAGTTATCTGTAGACTGCGTGATTACCATATTTAGTTGTAAGGTATTGGCCATTCAGGAATGACGATGAATAATGATATTCAAAATGATCAAGACGAGTACATTTAAGGATTACCAGTAATTTTGCCACAATTGCCCGAGACGCCGAGTGTTGTTATTAATACATCTGCTTATTATTTGCATGATAAAATTACCAACTTCACTCACATGCATGCCGTTCATTTCCAAATATTTATATCGATATTTTTTATAAAGCTCCTGAAAAAAAATAAAAATTGAAACTGCCATTTTGAATGTTTTTGCTCAAATTGTTTCCCAAGCCTCACTCCTGATTTAGAACACAATTAATAAAATAATTGTACTCCTCTTACCAATCAGAATTCAGTAATTCTGTCATTCAAATAATAATAAAATAATTATTTATTATCTTTAAAGATATTAACGAATGCACACTCGGCATTCACAACTGTGACGGTCAAGCAACATGTGTTAATACCATTGGATCATTTAGTTGTGGTTGTAACGTTGGTTTTACAGGAGATGGAGTCACATGTGTAGGTATGTAATCTGAATTACATCTGTATATAATATTCCTACAATGGGTGCTGAATTTTACTTTGGTGTACAAGGTAACATTATATTGTTTTCAGTTCTTTACATACAATATGTAGCTATATGACTATAGCACCATAAGTCATCATCACCGCTATGTAATTGGATGAATTTGACACATAAATTTTCTTACAAATTTGTAATTCTATACTTTATCCTAACTTGGCGAAAACGTTTTGTCCTTTAAGTGCCTTGATATTTGGTGCATGCCACGTATACTGTGTAAGGAATTCTATATTGAGAGATTTTTATCAAATATAAATTCACGCAACGCATTGTATTAGTGACGTGATATGTATGCGTATGGGTTTGTATAATTCGACTATCTCCTTAAAATACGTCTTCTTTTCTATTTTTATAGATATCAATGAATGTGATCTGAACTTAGACAACTGTCATTTAAATGCAACATGTTCAAATACGATAGGGTCATTCTTCTGTACGTGTCGACCGGGCTTTAGTGGGAATGGAGTCTCGTGTATAGGTATACGGCAAACTTGATTATCCATACTAGCCAGCCAGCCAGCCGTCTTCTTGGAGTGGTTTCTTAAAATTTGGATGGCGACTTTTACTTAAAAGACAGTCTTTAGATGGATGATTAGATGTGCTCCCCCTTAAACAGTTTGTGAAACAACAACAAAAAACAACAACATCATGGCGATACATAATACGTCTTCGCATTAGAAGTATTATGCAAAAAGTCTTATTGTTTTGTCGTGTATCTGAGTGATGTTGTTTTTTTTCAACCGAGCGTTCTTCAATAATTGATACCGGCATATGAGAGCAATGACAATAAATTGTATATTCGGCTAACATCGCAATGCAACGTGCGAAACTTTGATGTGAATGTATTTCTACGTCCCCCCAAAGAGATTCACACTGGCCCTTGCACATGAACACGTGAACAAGATGAACATCTTGTCTTGGGCCAATTTTTGAATTTGAACATCAAAATTCCTGTTTGTTTAGCGACTTTGCAAATTTATGAACAATGTGATTAAATGTGATTTATCTTGTACAGATATTGATGAGTGCGCACTAGGCACAGATCAATGTGATAGAGTGAATGGTCGTTGCTTCAATGTCAAAGGATCTTACACGTGTACGTGTAACAATGGTTACCGTGGAGATGGAAGGACTTGCGTTGGTAAGTAAGATATAAAGTAAAGTATTCGATCAATATAAAAGGATTCAGAAAACGTTTGTGGTATCTATAACATGAAGTACTATGTAGATTAATGCTATTATTGGAGGCTGTTTACATTAACGTCACAGGAGAGCAGATGGGGAAGGTAGTGATCTTTCACGCTGATGGAAACAAGAATATTATGATTTTGTCTTTAGTGTCTCCAGCAGATACTAGACTGCTGCATATAATGAAATAATTAACATTAGTTCCTCACTCTGATACATGACAGTTTCATATTAGTCATTGATGTCCAGACTGCAGAGGGCGCAAAACGGCAAAAGCTAAATTGAAGGTCAGGAGCGCGTAATCTTCCCCAGGGGCGGAACAACAGGGTCTGTTATCACAATAAAAATCAAAGCATTTGGTGCCTTCGCGCAACTTCATGTCCAGGAAGCCATTGGTGTAATTTATTCTACGGGGCGTAAAAAATGTAAAAATGTGTTACAGAAGACATCCAGGGGCGCAAAAATGTGTCCCTGAGAGAATCGGGGACGATATTGTCCAACTCTGCAGTCTGGATTGATGTCGGCGCAAATTCTCATCACAGCTGACATTAATAACAACCTAATTTTTTGGTTCCCGGTTAATTAATGTAGAATATTGTGCAAATTATTCTTTTGTCTGATTACTTCGGTTGAATTATGTTTAGATATTGATGAATGCGCGGAACAAATAGATAATTGTGACGACAACGCTCAGTGTACAAATCTTCCTGGTACCTTTACCTGCGCTTGTAATGCTGGCTTTGCTGGAAATGGAAGCACTTGTCTCAGTAAGTTCACATAAATTATTTATTATTTCAACTCTTAAACATCTTCGTTCCCAGGGCCTCACGGTCGCGCGCGACTTTCGTAGGCCCTGGTATACACGGAACCGGAAGTGCAAAAAAAGTTGCAGTAGTTTCTAAAGCGCATGCTCTTGAATTGGGACGTTCAGCACCCGTAACAATTGTCACTGACAAGTATTACGGAGAAACGAAGTATTTGTGTTGACATATTTTGTTAGAAACATTTTCCCTAGCGAAAATTGCTCAACTTCTCCGAAATAGGAGTTCTCTGAGAAGCCAATCAGATCTATCGCTTTAGTCGTCTAACCCAGAACCTATTTTTCAACGAGTGACGGAATGAAAATGGCTCTGGGGACGAGAATGCTCTTAAAAATATCCAACTTTCCCTGTCAATCTGCTGAGGCCGGTTGCTCAAAAGCAGGTTAGCTTAACTCTAGGTTATCCTAGAATTAAAAGCAAACTGGCCAACAACTTCAGTGCCGTAGCAAGCTCGATAATTGGGGGCTCATAATCATATATTCGTGTTCTGCGTTATTAATTAATTTCTTTTGAAATCGATTGTTTTTATGGTCTGTCAACACGAATATATGAATATGAGCCCCCCCCCCAATTATCGAGCTTGCTACGGCACTGAACTTGTTGATAAACTTGGAAAAGTTTCTTCAAAAATCTTGTGTGGATAAATTAGAATTTCCATTTCTGAAGTTTTGTTCATAAACATATGTGCAGAAATAGAGAAACTAAAACAGCAGGTTAAATATTAACCATGGGTTGTAGCGTAATCTAGCTTTTAATAACCGGCACCAGGTCTCCAAACACGACACTTGTTACTAAATTAAAATTAAACTAATCACTTAGGGTCGGTTAGCCAGTTAGCTTTAATCCTAGGACAAAATCTTCAAATCAATCTTCGCAATAGCTTATTTATAAACATGGAAATAGTTTCCCAGAAATTTTGTCTGGATCAACGGAAGTTTCATTTTCTGAACTGAGTTTTGAAATAAACATGCAGAAATGCGCACAAATTAAAACGGCAGGTTCAAATTTAACCCAGATTTAGCGCTAATCCAGCTTCGAACAACCGGTCCCTAGAGCTTATTGTGTAACATTCAAGTTAACAAAATCATGATGATAGTATGTAAAGCTTAGTTTTTGTTAGTTTATAATTTTCTTTTGCGATTTCAAAATCTTATATCTTGCTTATAGACATCAACGAATGTGCTCTTGGCACTGACAACTGTCATGTGAACGCCACGTGTACAGATACCATTGGTTCGTGGACATGCCAATGTAATGTTGGATTCACCGGCAATGGGGTTTCTTGTATAGGTAAAGTAATTCACAAGATATATTTTTTTTATTAACTAACTTTAGTGGATATGACTTCGCTTCGCAATTTCTACGTTAACATTAAAGAAACTATAATTTATTGAAATTTGGAATATTCCCTTTATTTTCCCATTTCATATTGTCTTTTATTTCGACACGGGATTAAACCAAAAACTTTGGACTTTATCCAAGTATATTTTTTCTCTTCTTAGACATTGATGAATGTGCCCTGGGTATCGACTCATGTAGTGATGATGGTATTTGTGACAACAACATTGGAAGTTATACTTGCAGATGTAAAGCTGGTTTCAGTGGAGATGGAAGAACTTGCACTGGTATTGTTTTAATTTCTTTACATTTAATGTTTTTGTTATGATGAAGCACCTAAAACAAACGAACAAACGAACAAACGAATTTTGTGACCACATTCTGTTTCTCAATTTACAGATATCGACGAGTGCTCTCTAGGGACACACAACTGTCATGTCAACGCAAATTGCATAAACACAAGAGGATCTTTCGTATGTACTTGTAAGACTGGTTATGAAGGAAATGGTGTCACTTGTATAGGTATGGCTGCTTTGCCAATTAAATTTATAATAAGTGGGAAGTAAAGAAAGAAAGAAGAATAGAGGTCGCTGCTTTTAGTGTTGTCAATTTGAAGCGGCAAATTTACCATTTTCTGCAGTAGAACATTACTAGTCAACGGATTGCCAAAGAGGAAAAAATTTCCCGCGTGAATCAAACATTATATTTTCCGAATTACTTTGATAACATAGAAAAGTTGTGCTTGACATAGGTATTGTGAAAGGATAAAAGCAGTATATATGTTCGTAACATATACAGTATACTGAAGATATACCCAGCTATTACATTCAGTTAATTTGCTTTAATTTAATTAATATATTATTTTCTATGCAGATATTGATGAATGTACGCGTGGAACACACAACTGTCCAGGTTTCTCAACTTGTCTTAATACACCAGGATCATTCATTTGCCAGTGTGTGAATGGCTTAAGACTCGTTAACGGCACTTGTGTAGGTAAGAAACAGGAATTATGCAATACTAATGACTATATGCAGTATGTGGTAGTAAGGCTATATGCTTAGGCTAAAGTGTCGCCACAAAATATTTAGTCTGAAAAATTTCACTATACACATGCAGTCAGCAAAATCTAGGAAATTTGTAGCACTTTCAAGTATATAGCTATGTGGTACTTATTTAATCTAAATTGTTCCTGGTTTTATTTTGAAGATATTGACGAATGCAACTCTGGATTACATAATTGTCACGCGTTTGCCGCATGTTCCAACACCTTTGGAGGATTTACTTGCCAGTGTAGAACAGGATATGCGGGAAACGGAACTTTCTGTCGAGGTGAGGTGGGATGTGGGGCAATTTGAAGATACATGTTATAACAACAAAAGGATTATTTGATACCTGAAATATTGAGTTTCTATATGCATATTCACTTGTTAATGAACATCATATAGTATACTATATGATTCTACTAATAAATAATAGTGTATTAGTGTTTGATAAACATTGGCAAAAATTACCGTCAATAATTTCATTTTCGCCGGTATTATCGGTGGAAATTGCCTTTTGCAAATGGCGGGAACTGCGAGGATTGTAATTATGTAGCTAGCATTTGTTGTCAATGTTGTTCTTATTGGTTATTTTATGATGATGATGATGGTTTGTTATTTTTGTTGTTTTGCCGATGTTTCTGTTCTCTTCAGTTGTCCTGTTTATATTGCTGGTTTTGCTTTTGGTGACGGTGATCTTGTCATATATGCACATGTATAATTAAATTTTTTTGTCATGTTTCATATTAGACATCGATGAATGTGCGGCCAATACTGATAACTGCCATGTTAAGGCAACTTGCACGAATACGATTGGTAGCTACACCTGTCAATGTATCACGGGTTATGAAGGGAATGGCACCCATTGTGTTGGTAAGTTATATGGCTTAACGTAACACGAACAAAACAGAATAGAATAGAACAGAATAGATCTAGGTTTTTCTCGGTAAATGACGGCTAAACACTGTAATATTTACCAATCACATAACTATAGACGCGTATTTGATGTGC